CCCATTTAGCGATGTTTCTGCATAGCACCAATTAATCCGGAACGGATTAACATCGCTATGCAGGGCACCACTGTATATGGTTTTAGACATCTGCAGGTTTGCAATTCCAAATTTTTGTCATTTTGCCATTCCTGGTTCAGTGGTTCGTGACTGGTGATCTTATCCACATTTGCGCGGAGACTTTTAAGTGCTCTGGGCTCTTGGAAGAAAACGTGGGATAAAAAAAATCAAATGAAGGAGGAGAAGAATTTTAGAAAGTTTGTTTGTGTGCGTGCATGTGTGTTTGTGTGTGTTTGCAGAATATATATGGGAGCAGGATTAAATCTAAGACAGACGCTCTACGAGAGGGGACAGAGGGAATGTTCCATGCATTGCGCCGTGGGGGTTCACAACTCCATGGAGATTGCACATTCTCGCAGCAGCCAGAGGACAAGGCACAATGAAAAGAAGCCGTTTTGGCAAGCTGGATTCCTGTGAGCCTCCAAAATGCATCTATTCACACGCCTTCCAAAAAAGCAAGGCCGAGGGAGGAGAGAGAGGCAACCCCCTCCCCAGCCCCCGCGTTTGTAAAGAGAGGGTTCCCGTTGCTATGTGCCCACAAAGACTTCCCATCTTTGCTTTCCACTTCAAACAAAACACACACACACCATCCTCAGTAGACTGCGGCGAACTCTCAACCGCCAACCGACAAGACAAACTTTCTTGGACTTCGGGCATCCAGGCACAAAAAATCACCTGTGAGTGGGTTTACCCCAGCTGGTAATTTTCCTCTCCTTGCTAGGGAATACTTATGTTTCCACCTCTCAACCTCAGCTCAAGGCGACTTGAAAACAAAACTCAAAACCACTGCGAAATGGGACACGCAATAAAAACAGCCATGACGAGAAACCATGATCAGGGGTCGTTGTTGCTTTTCCTTCACAAAGTAAGGTTATCACAGCCTGCCAAGAGGTATTCTTAAGAACGGTCAAGGAAGCCTAGACGGAAACTTCCGGGCCTCTGGATTTCCTGTCCTACAACTCTCAACATCTTTGAGGATGGTCTACACGCTGGTTGTCAAAACCCAACACAGTGGGAGGGAGAGAACTGCCTTCCTGGCCCAGAGGATGATGATGTTTTTAAGCAATCCTGAAAATATGAGAAGGTGACAGGGTGAGCCAAGAGAGAGAGAGAGAGAGAGAGAGAAGGGTAGGTTTTCCACAACAGAGGGAATCTGGGTCTTCCCCGAGATCCACTGGAAGTGTCCAGAGATCCACCTGAGAGGCACTGGTGGATCCAGAAGGTCACCATCATAATCCGCCCACCCTCAAGATGCCTAAAAGGTCAACGTGTTCCCAAGACGTCGTCAAAAACAAGATGGCGGTCAAGAGCGGATTATCAACAAGGGTCATCTCAGGAAGCGGGGATGGGGTGACAGACACTCAACTAAACCCCATGAAACGTCACCTCAAGAGGAGCAGTTTCCTCAGGGAAAAGTCTTAATAACCTTCAGAAAGGTTGGCGCCCGTGGGAGCCTCTTGTTCTTGGAAAGGTTACCTATGGGGACCACAGCGGCCAGAATATCTCAGAAAATATGGCCACTAGCCATGATTTTAGGGGATTCTGGAGGTTGTGGCACAAAGAGAGTAACACCTCCAATGTTGGGTTACGCGTTCTGGTTTTACAAGCATCAGCAAAGAAACCGATGAAAGTCACTGAATATTTCTTTCAGACACAGCAAACCAGGCTGGCTATAGGCAAGGCCCATCCATTGCTTCCAACGGGCCTTTCTGAACAGTCTTCAAAGGCAGCCCCACGCGAGGCACATTGCAGTAGTCCAGGTTGAATTGCAATGCGTTCGTCAGGGCCACGGATGACGAGCTACTCCACACCCCTGTCTGTCCCCACCTTCCTCAACGCCCAGCAATTACAACACTTCTCCCAAAGAAATAAAACACACACACGCACACATCTGACAGGTGGTGGCGGCCTCCACACCATGGGGGAGGTGATGAAAGGAAAAAGAGCTTCTCCTCCGACCTGAGCATGTCCATTTTAGCATGTCTTTTCCTTGCAGGTCAGGGTTAGGAATTGCAAGAGTTTTTTCTCCTCTTTTGCAAAAGGGCAAAATATACATTCTCATCCTGCCAGCCCAACAGTTTCACGCAAATGGGGCTAACTTGGCAGATCATGCAGAGGCCCAAAAGCAGTGGCTTTATCTCCTCAACGTGTAACCACGTGAAGCAGCAAATGGGTAGCTCTCGTCTTTTTCTAATGAGCCAGTAAGTCCTTCTGTGCTTGCATCGGTGTATTTCTTAAAGAACCCAAGCGTTTGAGCACCATGACCTAGAGGCATGCAGCGTACACTGCACAAAATACCCCCAAATCAGCAAACACAAAGAACTTAATAGCCCCCAAATACCACATTCTGCCTGCTTCTCTCCTCCCTGGTTCAAGAGCGACACAAGCAGCTGAGCATTGAAGCCCAGGTGGCTTTTCAAGGCTGTCATTTTAAACCTGCACCTGAAATTTAAGACGGGCTGGAGGGGAAGGGCCACCGAAGGACACCTGTCGAGTCGGCTCCATCATCCTCTCTGTGGCACACACCCCTGGGGGTTTCCTCTCAAAATAGTTAACTGGGATCTGCCACAGAGGCTAGCACAGGGTCACAGTTACAAGCCGTTAAAACAAAACCACAGACAGGAACAAGCGGGGGGGGGGAAACGTCCCTTTCAAACACGGCCTTGAAATTCGGTGAGAACCAAATTCAGTGGGAACCGGGAGAGGCAGACAAAACACCACCTGGACAGAGCCCGAATAAGCAGTTCTCGCCTCAGAAGTGGAGCAAGACAAGGCAAAGTTTAAGCCCAATGGCGACGTCTGAGGCAGAGTAGACCCATGGAGTGAAGCAGTTCTCGCCTCAGAAGTGGAGCAAGACAAGGCAAAGTTTAAGCCCAATGGCGACGTCTGAGGCAGAGTAGACTCATGGAGTGAACTGGTGACTCAAGATTTCGGTAAACAGCGTTTTGATGTTGTACGCCGCCCAGAAGCCACTGGCAATGGTGCGGCTGAAAAATATTGTAAATAAAAAAATAAAATAAATAAAGATTTCGGTAAACAGTCTTGAATCATCAGATCTGTTCCTGCACTTTCCGTGGGGCGGTTTTAGGCTTCAAGATTTGTCATTTTCCCTTTTTTTAAAACGTTAGCCTAACAAAAGGACGTGGGTAGGCGGAAATCTGGCGACAACTTTACGACTAACAGCCTCATTTTACCCCGAGCTTTCCCAGATAAAATCCACTTCCTCAGACACAAGAGGTTTTCACCTAGGTTTCAACTGGTTCAACAGAAATTCATGCATTTTTATTTTTGCCTTGACTGCACTGGAAGTTTACTGTTTTTAACCCACTGAGGTCACGTCTTCTTTCGAAAATGCTGGGCAAGCGTCTGGGACAGTCTTAAGTCTCGAAACACAGAATATAAACACCAAGGTGGGAGCTACAGAAAACTTACTTTTTAAGTCCCAGAATACCGGCTTGTGGAGTTACAGGAGCGGAGAGGGCAAAAACTGCATTTCCTAAGGGCTCATCTACACAGAACACGGGGACTTCAGAAACTAAACCCAGGGTTATTTTCTTTTCCTTCTGCTCCACGGAGGACCAGAAATGCCAAAGGGTACCAGAAGATCGTGAGAAAGAGGGGAAACGGCCACTTTCATGCCAGGCTCTGGAGAAACCCCAAAAAGCAGCACGAGGGGAGAAATGCTAAGGTACTTCCTGCCCTATTGACCAGCTCTAATCCTGGGAACAGGAAGGGTTCTCTTCTTCGGGAGACAAGGGGCTCTGGCAGGGTGCGGGAAGGACAAAAGAGAACAAATCGTACACCTCTCCAACAACATTACAGTTTTGCATACGTCAAAGGAAGGAAAACTGCCTCTTTCGAGCGACTGGCCGGATCTAGCTGAGCATCGTTCATCGTGACCAGTGAGGCACTCTCTCAGAGCAAGGCTTCTGGCACTGCTGGGTGGCTCAGGGGTTGGGAAGATTGGGGGTTCGATTCCCCCCCTCGGTGCCTCTTCCAGCTCTGTAGTCCCAAGGTTGCTTATTTATCTCCCCCCCTCGGTGCCTCTTTGATGGGGGCTGGACTGGATGACCTGTGCGGTCCCTTCCAGCTCTGTAGTCCCAAGGTTGCTTATTTATCTATTTATTTATCCTGCTTGATTCTTCCTATGAGAGATGCCAGGAAGAGAGCCTCTTCTGCCAGAGATGCACGCAAACGCCTGGGGTCCCAGCCGTGTACAAGAAAAAACCCACACCCTTGGTCGAGAAGAAGGCTGTCATCACAGTTTCAAGCACCAGACAACACCCCGGGGGCCTCTTCAATAATCAAATGCACAACAGGCTGGGGACAAAGCAGAGAAGGAACAAACAGAGACAGGGGGTAAGAGAGCAAGCCTGGCGTGGTGGCTGAGAGCTAATCTCTAAGAGCAGGGCAGAAGGTTCTGAGTTCAAATCCTCCCGCTTTTGCAAACAGACTGGATTTCTCCATGCAGCGAAACCAAACATGTCCTTCCCCCCCCATCTCTGCAGTACAGAGATTAAGAGGACCAGAAATCTTAGTCACCAGAAACACGGTATACAACACAGGGGGGCAAAAAAAGGATCAACTCCATTTAAAATGAAAACGTCCACTTAGGGATTCTTACAGAAATTTGGTGACTGGGCCGATTCTTCAGCAAATTTATCATTATTGTTCTAACAAAACAACAACAACAACAACAACAACAACAACAACAACAACAAAATTGACTCAAAAGTTCTTTGGGAAACAGGTTCACGTTATGCTCAGTTTCTCCCTATACGCTTCTTGTGGAGCAACAACAACAACAACAACAACATTGACTCAAAAGTTCTTTGGGGAACAGGTTCAAGTTATGCTCAGTTGTGGAGCCGGCCCTTACCTTTCCTTTTGGCCCCAGCCACTCACGTGAGTATTTTCTGCAGCCACGCTCAAAAGGATACATCTTCACCGCTCCGGATTTGGTGCCGATGGCCATGATCCGTAGCTTGGGGTCGAAGGCCAAGGAGCTGGGCTGGTTAGGAAATCCATGTTCAACAGTCTGGAAGAAAAAGAAAGAGACGCTCATTCCCATTGCACCGAAGTTCTTAAAGCCAAGTTTCTCCGGCCTGGAGAGGAGGCAGCGAGGCTCAAAAGCAGCAGTCAAGCTTACGGCTATGCCAGACACACAAACACACACCCCGAGCTAATGTTTTGGACTACAGCATCCATCAGCCCCAGCTAACATGGCTAAGGGTGATGGATCAAGGGGGCTGGAACTAAAAAAAACAAAAAACACAACAGGTCAGGTTATGCTTTCCAAGGTGGTTTTCAACCTCAGTTGGGTAGCAGGACCACCCCACACTGCAAAAATCAACGGTGTGTTCTTGCAGTCCCATGCAACTCAAGAGATTCTAGCCAGATGTTTGCATTTTCCGTCCACACCAGAATATCTCGTCTCCCTCTTTGAAGCACATCCTGTAGGACCGCATCAGGCAAGCCTTGATCCCTCTACAGGTTGTGGGACTACAACTCCCCTCGTCCTGCCACGTGCTGAGCCTGGCTGAGGGGCGCTGCCGTCCACAGAGACTGCTCCTGGATCGGCCATTTTTGGCACAATAATCAATAATAATTGTGTGCCGTCAAGTCCGTTCTGAGTAATGGTGAGCCTTTTCGGGATTTAAAAAACAGCTTTTGCAAGATGGCCTAATCAGGAAGCGGTAATTACTCACTATAAATATTACTTTTAAAAAAGAAAGGATCACCAGAGTTTGGAAACAAAGCTGATATTTCCTTACTTAGGAACGGCACCAAATTTGTTTGTCTCGTTCTGAAAACATACAAAGTCAAGTGTCACATTACGTTGGCGAGCAACTAACGCAACTTCTCTGTTTTCAAAACTAAAAAGGCTGTAAGTTTTATAAAGCTGAAGTTTCTGTGGATGTATCTGAAGTGGGCTTGAACTTCACAATAGCTTCTCTAAATAAGACTAACAACTTTCACTGGAAAATTTTTAATAATACTTAAACGGAGGCCAAAATACCGGGCCCCTCAAGTCTGTAAAGCCTGTCGGCTCCAGCAAAGAATACTGTATCCAATAATAAGAAATTTACTCAACAAGTTACTAAATGAAAATAAAAACCTTACTCAAAAATGTAGGATTAGTATAGAGTGGATATTTAAAAAGAATAAAACTTTGCTTTGGAGAAAAAAAAAGATAACAGTGTTTTTTGGTTTGAAATCTTTCATCTTCGAAGCACAACTGAATAGCTCAATGGTTATGTATCTGGTTGTGGAGCCAGAGGTTGGGAGTTCGAATCTCCCCCACCCCCGGGTCTCCTTGACTGGGGCCGGACTCTGTGATTCAGAGGGTCCCTTCCAACTCAGCAGTTCCAAGATTATTATTATAAATTTTGCCATTACACCGGCCTAGGGTGACCAGTTTTCTGCTGACTCCGCTCCTATGCCTTTTAAAGCCAACATTTGGAAAGCAATGACTTTTGCATGCATGTACACACACCATTTTCCGTCCATTTAGCCCCTGAAGGTTTTCCCCGACTGGAGATAAAGCAATTCTGGAGGGGAACGAGCTTCACGGTACAGATTTCTACACATCAGGATGCAACGCCACAAGAGCCGAGTCGGACGACGGCCAAACAACCGGACCGCTGGCCCAGACTTCCCGAGAGACGCTCTCTGAATAGCCCGGGACTGCCTGGTGGTCTCGCTCCGTGGGCCAAGAGCTCTATTAAGCAGGTGAAACGGCTGCCAAACCGTCCCACACAAGGCAGGTGGGAGATTTCTTTTAGCATTGTTCCAGCCCACGTCAGCCTCCCGGGAGCTCATGGTTTAGGGCTGCCCGGAAAAGAAGGAATAGATTAATCAAGACTTGGCCGAGAGATAGCCTACGGCTAAGCAAGGCATCCCTTTCCCGAACCTTTCCAGCTGAAACAATGAATTTTTTCCCCTTTTTTGGAACAGAGAGAGACAAACGCATCTTTTCAGCCAGTTCTAGCTTCTCTTCCCTCCAGTGTCGGGGTCAACGTGAGCGAACATTCACAGCAGAGAAGGAGGAGCAGAGGAGGAGAAAAGATTTACTGTATTTTTTTTCTGTGTATAAGACTATACTCTTGTCTAAAATCTTTAGACTAAAAATTGAGGGTCGTCTTATACACGGAAGTAAACTGAGGAGGGAACAAAAACAAGTGGAGGGGAAAGCAGGGATTAAAGTGATCCTGCAGTGCTTTGATCCCTTTCCCCCTCCACTTGCTAAGCCCCACTTAGATTTCTTAATTTTGGATTAGAAAAATGGAGGGTATCTTATACATGGGGACCTCTTATACATGGAAAAATACGGTAGTTTTGTACGGGGAAGACAACGGGGCACTAAGTTTCCTGCTTGTCTCCACCAAAAATGTGGGTGCTTTGAGGTACAGTATTACGGAAAAACTCAAGCACCCCTTTTCTCCTTATATAAATGGATGGAGAGAACTCCCTCGTGGCCGGCTGGGGAGTAAGAGTCACTCCTGTCCCAGCTTACAGAGCAGGAGCAGAAAAAGGAGCTTATCCACCACAGACAATGGGAAGGTCCACCTCGGATAACGGCCAGCCACCCCAGGGGACAAGTGCCAACTTGCAGTGGAGAGAGAGACTAGGTCCTTTTTTCCACCCGCAAAAGAAAGCCGCCAGAGGTCAACCACAGAAGGGGTGCACCTCAGAACCTCAAGCCAAACCTGCCACTTCTGGATTCGGCCCTTCTCGGGTTCCCCAAATGGAGACCGTTTGAGCTTCGGAAAGAAAGGAAGCCGTATCATGAGCGATGACTGGGTTTATTTCAACACTTCTCGCCCTTTCCATCCAGGAGTCCTCGTTCCCTGATAAATGAGCCTCGCCTTCACAAAGAAAGCTGGTAAATGGGCTTGAAAAGTCATTGCATTTCATGCTTCCACAGTTGCTCGGTCAACCCGAATCCCGCCATGACGGAATCAAACAAACCCCTTCTCCCAGAAGGATCTTTATACGTTTAAAGACATCCTGTGGTTCCATGAGAGCTGAAATTGCTTCGCTATCACTGCATTTAGAAAAGGGTGAAGATAAACCCTCCATCTGGCCTTAGAAAACGTGCCTGGTGCTTAGTTGAGCACGGCATGGCTTTTACCGGGCTGAAACTCTGGGCATTTTAACGTTCTGAGCGGTCCCCTGGCCTTTAAGGATGTTTGGAAGCCACCTGGCACCGACACGCAGGGTTAACGCTGTGAAATGGCAAAAGAATAAATATTTGTCATCTATTTGAAGACATTAAAAGGGAATATTATGGCTGGGAGGAAAGCCAAGAAGAAATAAGCATGCCGTTAGTCACTCAAAAATCGCACGGTTACTGCAGAGCTGCAAGTTTTGCTGCTATGGTGATCGCAAAACACCAGGAGGCCAGAGAGCTACAGGTGGATCATACGGGGCAAGTAGCATTAGCTGTAAACCGTGTGACACTTCCCCAAAGTGGGAAGGAAGGAAAAAAAAATCTTAAGGCTTTTTACAAAAACCCAGCCTCAAAGCAAGTGGTGGCAATGGTGGTAGGCTTCTTCCTACTAGTCCTTATCAAAGGATGCCCAGACTGATCACTGCTCTTGAACATGGAGGTTCCACTCAGTAATCCCAGTTACCAGAAGCCATGGCCTTCCAGAGGAGATTTTTAAAAACCCTAACGCCCACATTAGGAAAGGACAAGGTGGATCCTACCGGCTTCATGAATCGACCTACCAGGAAAGAAACAAAACAAGTCCTTTTTTTCTAGAAAGATGTTTCTATGTTTATATTTCCAAGAAGGTAGTCCTGGTGCCACAAAAATAACAGAAAAACCCGTTGGAATTGATGGGGTTTTTTTTTTTTGGCTTTCCTGGGCTGCAAACAGCTTCTTCAAAGGCCAGTTTCAAATGAACCTGAAAACTGGGTCACCTTGCTTGTCTCCAGCCGCTCCATACCTGGTGCAGGTGAGCAAGGAGGTGGCTGTGGGAGGGCCCCGCCCCGCCTGGTGCCAAGTTGATCCAGGGCTGGCCATCCTCTGTGGGACTCCTTCCTCTGTTCATCAGGCGTTCAGAGCGGCCTCTCGCCACCTTCGCCGTGCCAACCTGGTGGCATCCGGTACCCATTCTTCAATTTCAGCGAACATCTCAGTGGCCAAGGTGGTGGCCCTCAAGAACCCACCATCCACGGATGCCGGATCTGGGCCAGACACGTTGTTCTTCTATCTTCATGGAACTTTGCCCCCAACTGTGTGGGGTCTTCAACCTTCATCACCCCTTCCCCACCAAAACATCTGTGGATGATGGAAGCCACAATCCAGGAACAGGCAATCCTTGGCCTGGTAGATGTTGTTGTTGGACTGTGACTCCCACTGTCCCCGTCAACCCAGGCAGCAATGCAGGACGATGGGCACTGTAGACCACGTCTTGCCTGAGCTGTTGAAACAGGCCCTTCTTTTAAGCTGCATTTGGGAACAACTTGGGGGGAAAAGCCGTGAAAGTAGAGAAAAAAGAATTGGCCAGGCAGGAAATTACATGCAGTGGGATGTCTGCAGAGCTACAGAGCTGGGGGGGGGGGGGGTTTTTTTCCCCCTGGGCTACAGAAGTTCCCAGAAATTCTGTCCCAGCAGAGATTTATTTTACACTTACAATCGCAAAGCTAAGGGAGTTGGAAACCCTTACCAATCCACTACAAGGCACTCACAAATCTTACCTCTTGCCTGCACCAATTTAAAAACACATTATGTACAAAGCTGCATGTCTGAATCCATAATAACCAGGGTGATATTTATCATTATTGCAACAACTGCATGCAAATGTTAGAAGTCACTCAAAGCACCTCACATCCCTTATTTTTCAACAATTCTAACAATCTTCCAAGTCCCACATTGGCATCATCCTCACATCCCAAAGAGGGTGTTGAGGCTCAAAAGAGGCAGCTTCCCTAAGACTATACGTCTGTGCACACTTTCTTAGAAGCCCCCCTCCAATTTAACTCCATGGGATTTATTTCAGGGGAGGGGGGAATATGCATGCAATTGTGGGCTTTTCTTTTAAGTTACATCCCTCGAAAATC